CCCCCAGAAGGAGCAGAGTCAGCACCAGAAACTCCAGCTGAACGAGCACCAGCAGCACCTCCAACAGCTCCTGGGCCTCCAGCAGCACCAGCAGCACCTCCAGCCACTCCAGGACCTCAAGCAGTACCAGCAGAACCTCCAGGTCCTCCAGTAGCACCAGCAGCACCACCAGCAGAACCAGGGTCAGCAAAACCTTGAGCAGGCGGAACCTCAACGCTAGGAGCTCCACTCCTGAGGCTGCAGCGCCGAGCGTACCACTCACGTAGCCGTTGAGGGGAGGGAGGCTCTAGCTGCGGCACTGCACGTGCGAGGTCATCAGCCTCGACGCCAGTAGACTCCCCAGCCCCAGCAGCTCCACGACGAAGGCTTTAGCGCTGAGAGTACCACTCACGCAGCTGCTGTGAGGAGGGAGCATCACTTGGCTCAGCACCCCCAATCTCAGCACCCCCAGTCACAGCACCTCCAGGCTCAGCACCTCAGTCTCCGCACCCCCAGGCTCAGCACCCCCAGTCTGAGTGCCCCCAGTCACAGTACCCCCAGTCTCAGCACCTCCAGGCTCAGCACCCAAAGTCTCAGCACCCCCAGGCCCAGCACCTCCAGTCTCCGCACCCCCAAGCTTAGCAAACTCGGTACCCCGCCCAGGACTAGAGTCAATAGCTACCTCGACAGGTTCGACCGTGTCTACCTAGGAAACACCTGAGGGAGCAGCACCCAGGGGGGTGAGAGGGTCTACCGACAGGACACCTGGGGTGAGGAAAAGCGGCGGGGGGGGGAGCGGGGCAGTGCGGTAGGGGAAGAGACGGTAAAAGGGTACCGACTCGTCGAAGGTGACGTCTGAGACGCGAAGACACGGCGCGAGGTGGGGTGGTAAAACTGCCAGCCAGGCGCGTTAGGGACAAAGCCCAGAAAGACACTGGGAACTGCACGGGAGGAGAGTTTGTCCGCGGACTTGTCGCGGACAAAGGCTCGACATCCCCAGACTCGGAACACCGACGCGTCGCCAACCTCCCCCGTCCAAAGCAGGGTAGGCCAGGTCTCCGTAACGGAGACACGGGACCAGAGGTTGAGCTGATGCGCGGCGTACTGCACTGCAAACGGCCACAGGAAATGGGCGGCAGCCGCATGGATCATGGAGGTATGAGCGACCTCCATGACAAGACCAATGCGGCGCTCAGCAACCCCATTCTGCTGCGGAGAGGCCGGGAGAGTGAACGTCTAGCGGATGTCGTGCCCCGCACAGTAGGCTGCCAAGAGGTCAGAGGAAAACTCGCCACCTCTGTCAGAGTGCAGACGTAGGACAGGAAAGTCCGACTGGAACCGCTGGCGGAGCTGAAGACGAGCAGCGCGGATCCAGGGGATCAAGACATCAGGGGCCTCACCCTTGGTACGCAAGGGGAAGAACGTGGTGTAGCGCGTGTAGTCGTCAACGACCAGCAGAAAGTACCGCTCGTGGCCCTGTCCCCGAACGCGGGCGGGGCCCCACACGTCCGAGTGAAGAGTCTGCAGGGGAGCCTCTGGGATGACCACAGACAAGGAACCTGGAGTGCATGCCGCGAAGGCACTGCACTGACGGGTGACCAAGGCGGTAGTGCCAGAGGACCGTCCTGTGCGACAGGGAGCAACACGAGCAGGGGGCCGACAGCTGACCTGACGCAGACGCAGCTACCTGAGGGGACTCAGTGGTCAGGGTGTACAAGTCCGACCCCGCCTGCCGAGTGAAGGTAGCCAGCTGGCGGCCCGTCCGGTCACACGTGCAGTGCGTCACACGCTCGTAGGCCGGGGTGAACAGGTGAACACCCGCGTCCTGGAGCGCAGAACCCGCCACCAAGTTTGTAGAGAACGAGGGGAGGTAGAGGCCCGACAGCGTGCCAGACGGGACAGCAGGACAAGGGAGGGCAGTAGTGGAGGTCGCAAGGACCGGACCCCTTGAGGGGTCAGCCAAGGAGAGAGCAACCGGTCTAGGGAGCTGCTCTAGGGCAGTGCGGTCGCGAAAGAAACAGCGGGAAGCACCTGAGTCTAGTGTGATGGTGTGAACTGCCTCAGTAGGTGCGGTACCAGCAGACGCAGACGCACTAGCACCTAGGGCAGCAGCCTCACCAGGACCTGGAGCAGCAGACGCACTATCACCTAGAGCTGCAGCCTCACCGGTCTCAATACCTGGGTCGGGCGGTACACTCAGGTAACAGTCACCCTCAACACTAATAGTCAATGCATACATAGCAGCAAGGATAGCAGTATAATCAAGAGCAAAGATATCAATTCCCTTCTTAAGGAGATCAGCCCAGCGGGGCAGCTCAAAGGCGTCAGGGAACTGCTCACGCCAGGCGTCGTCGAGGCAAAAGAAGCAGCACTGTGCCGTGTGGAATCTCCCACAAGTCTGGCCAGTGCGGTCACCTGTGCGGATGACGTACGGGCAAGTACCCCCACCCCCAGACCCCCCACGCCGAGAGTACCACCCACGGAGCTGCTGGGGCGAGGGAGTCTCACCGGGACGCTGCTGCTGCTACCTCTGGCCACCGCCAACCCTCCCCCGTTGTATCGCTCCACCGCGCCCGCCACCTGCTTCACCGCCGCCACTACTGCCACCACCACCCCCACCACCTCCACCGCCGCCGCCTCCACCACCCCCTGAGCCGCCACCGACCCCCCCACCACCCGCGCCACTCCCACCTCCTCCACCGCCCCCGCCCCCTCCACCCCTTCCACCGCTGCCGCCCCCTCCTCCACCTCCACCACCCCTGCCCCCCTTGCCCCAGCCGCCCTTGCATCTCCCACTAGGAGCAGACGCAGCCCCGACCCCCTCAGCTCCGAGGAAGTTGACAGCAGCAGCAGAGGCAATGGAGGGAAGGAGGGGGACGGGAGAGCACCCCTCAAAGAAGGGGGCGCGAGGGTCGCCACGAGAGGCACCTACAGCTACAATGCTCTTCTCAGCTGCTAGGAGTTCCTTCTCGAGGAGGTCGACAGTGAGGTCAGTGGGGGAGAGGGCTAGAAAGTGGTCCTTGACTGTGTGAAGGGAGTCGGGGAGGCGTGTGACAAGGTGGTACAGTGTGAGGTACATCGGTGGGGCGTTCTTGGCGAGGAAGTCTGGGGGGAGTGCGGCACGGTAGCGGAGGTTACTGGTACGGAGGTGGGTGATGAGGTCAGCTACAGTGGTAAAGGCGGACAGGTCGGGGAAGAGGTAGGACAGTGAGAGACGGCCTATAGCAGCTGTGGCAGGGGAGGAGTAGCGCGCGATTACTGCGTCATACAGCTCCTAAGCAGTCTTATGGTGGCCGAAGTGCTCGCGCTCATCTACCGGCAGGTGACTGCGAACGGCTAGGCGGGCGTGAGCATCACGAGTCTGCCACTGCGAGCGAGCAGTACTGTCAGCAGTAGCGGGAGGTGCGGGAGCAGCACCTGACGTGTGGTCGTACAGTGAGACATCGTCCTTGGCAGTGATCTGGAGGAATAGGTGGAGGTCATCAAGCCAGACATCGAACTTAATCGAGCGGCCCTCGGCGTCAAAGGTGAGAACAGTGGGACTGGCCATAGTGGCTGGAGCAGTAGCAGTAGCAGGAGAAACAGTAGTAGCAGTAGGAGTAGCAGTTGCAACAGTAGGTGCTGTAGGTGGGGCGGCGCGGCTCGGTAAGGGCGGCGCGGTTCGGGTGGCGCGGCTCGGTCAGGGCGGCGCGGCTCGGGCGGCGTGGCTCGGGCAGGGAGGGCGGCGCGACGGCGGGCCTATCGAAGGTGCGCGGCTGCGCCTAGGGTGGAGTTGCGCGCGGGCCGCTGCTGCGTTCGTGCGGGCGGCAGCGATCGTGCGGGCGGCGGGCTAGCACGGGCGGCGGCCTCAGGGGACGCGGTGGTGGCACGGGGCGGTCGACGAGCGGCTGACGGGCCGCGCTAAGGGCCGCGCGAGGCCAGAGAGGGCGGCGCGAGCAGCTGGCGGGCCGCGCTCCTAAGAAAGAGGCCGCGCGCCGGCGGCTAGCGGGCGACGCGACCTAAAAACGGGCCGCGCGCTCGGGCGTCTAGCGGCTGCACATGGGCAGCTGAGGAGAAAACGAGGGCGCACGAGGGCGCACTAGGAGCAAGGCGCACGAGGGCGCTAGGAATGACGGCGCACGAGGGCGCTTCGAGCAGAAATGGTGGGCCCTTAGGAACGGTCCTAGGTTCCTAACCTAGGCTCGTAATACCATGTCAGAATGAGAGAAGTGAATGAACTAGACAACATTGCAGTACAAGTATCAAACCCTAAGAGTTGTGTACCCCCTATAGGCTAACCCACAATAGCCTACACAGCAATAACACATATATAGTGTTTGACAGTTTGCCCCTTGGTGGGATTAGTTAAACTTGGAAGCCTTGTATCTTGATTTTATATATATTGTGGAGGAGGATTTATATCTAACGCACGGTTGCGCGTTGTTATAAGAGCCATGGTTGTTACATTGGTATCTAGAGCTAGGGTTATCCAAAGCCTAGTGGGGATTTTTCCCCTAGATATATTTTTTTTAATAGATCTTGGAGTTGTGGTTTCTCTTTAAGAGATCACTCAAGATCAGGAAGCTTGAAGAGTTCAAGATCTACAAAATCTACAACTGCAACTTCAAGCTAAAAAGAGATATTTATCTCTCTTGCCCACCTTTTGGTGGAAGACTCTTTACTGTTGAGTAGTGGAGTATAAACTTGGATCTGGGTGATTTGTTGAGGGTTATTTAAGTTCTCTTTATTGAGATTTGGATAGACCCTACCCTTTCACTTAGGTGATTGGGAGTGTTGACAACAAATCTGTTACCTTTGGTAACCTTGAGATATTCTGTAGAAGAAATTTCTTTTATAAGAATTTCTTGCTCTACCATTGAGGTGGTAAAATGACTTCAACAGAATCAACTCATGTCTTACAAGCTCTCTTCATCCTTATGGCATCTGGCCAAGAGAAGGATATGGCAAGGGAAGAAGGGCCCACTGCATCTAATGAAGTGGTGAACAATGCTGCTGAGATTGACCTCAATTAAGATGAGGCAATGGTTGACAGTGAGCAAGATGACATTGAGAACCTGGACCTTAAGGATGAGGATATCTATGTTGAAGTTGATAACCATGGTGAAGCTAATAACCATGGTGAAGCTGATGACAATGGTAAAGGGGAGAACGCCGGTGACAAGGAGAATACTGGCGATGAAAATGACTTCATTGAAGGTGAAGGCATGAGTTATCCTAGTTCTGAGGAGATAATTAAGCTCCAAGCTCAAGTGTCAACTCAGAATATCACCATCCTGCTGCAGCAGACGCCCATTGATGGACTCAAGAAGCATACTCGAAGCCTTGAGGCTGAGTTGCGCATTGCCACGAACGAGGTTCGCGAGTTCCGTTGCAGCCTGGGCACTAAAAAGTGCCAAATTGAGGAGCTTCAGGATAGATGCAACAATATGCAAGCATCATTCAACAAGCTCCATGAGCAGTTCAGGGAGCTTAGGAAGGAGGGCATTTACCAGCCTCCTCCTAGGCGTAGGCCCGCTTCTGCTGCTCAGCCAGCACCCGCTTCGCCCGCACCTCCGTTGGAAGGCGCTGCAATGGCTATGCACCAGCCACCTCCAACCGAGACCACACCCTTTGGGTCTCTCTAGGCGCCCCTACCTGAGTTTATCAATGGCAAGACATTAGTGGAGCCTTGGCTTGACCTGGTGGATACCACCATGACCCTTGCTAATGGGCGTCCCAAGGCTCGCGTCACCGCAGCAAATCGTGCATTGGACGAAGTGGCTCGCATGGCGCTGTATGGCGCTAAGAAGCAGGCGCAGGGACCATTTGAATGGCTAGAATTCTGCATCGCTCTGAAAGAGGCATTCATATTCAAGAAGTCCGACCTCGAACTGCGCGGACACCTTCAGAGTATCAAGTGTCGTGACCGTTCGGTGCAGGACTATGCGGTCGAGTTCGAAGCCGCGGCACGCATGGTCCTGAAGCCCTTGTCCGATGAAAAGATGATGCACACCTTCATGAAAGGCCTTCCTGTCAAGCTGCAGCAGGCACGCGTGACTGGTGGCATGACCAATTGGATGACTTACAAAGAAATGAAGAGGCAGGTGATCAAAACTGACAACATCATTCGCACGTACATGTTTGGTTCCGAAAAGCCAGGCCGGCAGCCCCGTACTGAAGGCTCTGGTGGTCATGGGAACCGACCCCAGAATGTCACCGGTGGAGGCGGTTGGAACAAGCGGCCTTCCCAGTAGCGTGATCACCAGCCTGGACCGCAGGTCAAGAGGGCTAACGGAGGGGGAGGGTGTTTCCCTAATGCCCCGGACTTCTCCGACAAGCGGTGCAGGGGTTGTGGAATGATGGGGCACATCGCATCGCAGTGCAGCGACAAGAACCCAATCAAGTATTATGGGAAGCCTAAGTAAGGCGACGCTGGACCTTCTGGAAATAATGATTTTCAAAAGCCCAACTAGGGTGTGGGTACCTAGTTGGAGGAGTAGATCGAGTGGATGAGACATATGTGCTATGTGATGATGATATATTAGAGATAGAGAAGCTTGCTGATGGCGAAATCTCTTGTTTGTTTGCCTCTTCTTTTAATAAATACTCTGCTTTTTATCCTCGGTCGTACCCACTTGAGAAAATTTCCATGGAAGCAATGCAGGATAATTTTTCAATTATTTTCTGTAGCTTGGACATTCTGCTTTTTGTCATTGAAATTGTGAGTTGTTGCATTCAAGATCACCCCCCGACTTCGGTCGCGTTCGTGACTCGCACAGTGAAAGGCGAATTGTTCAATGCGCTTCATGGATGGCCGGTCCTGGCGGCGTGGGACAAGGGACACCATGTGTGGTGGACCAACTCTCAGTCGCATGGACGCGCTTGTCATAATGTCAAGGTGTATTACAAACCTTCGACAAATGTTGTGGCATGTCCTATTCGCCCAAAGCATCAACAAAATGTGTTGCTTGTGGATAGTGTGAACGGGGAAAACGCAGAATTCTTTGTTGACACGGGTGCAACTGCTTCCCTCTTTGACGAAAAGTGGGTCACAGCACGCATGATCCTCGTTAAAGGACCGTCTTGCCCCATTCGGCTTGGTGGTGATGGCATCATCCCAAGCAAAGGGCAGACACGGATCAACATGGAGATTGATGGTTATCGCGAAGAGATCTGTGCATATGTTTTACCCCTTCTTGCAGGTGTCGATCTTGTCCTTGGAATAGATTGGTTGCGAGCGAATGAAGTCCAGCTCGATTTCCAGGACAATACGGTCTTGTTCTCAAAGAATGGTGACACTGTCGAATGGCAACTGCCTAAGGATTTGATCACGAACGAGCAACACACGTCGGAGCGTCCCGATGTGAGTTTTGCGCTCGCAAACGAGTTCGGACAGCATGTTCAACAATCCGATATCTTCTTTATGGTACAGCTTGAGAATGCTGAGCACGAGATGCCTGGGGTCGAGCATTTCCCACCTCAGATTAAAGCACTAGCGGACGAGTTTGCGGAGGTTTTTGAGCCCATCCCAAATGACCTTCCTCCGGACCATGCTGTCGGTCACACCATCTTAGTGGAGCCTATAAAACTTCCACCTTTTAGACCTCTGTATCGCCTCAGTCCAGCTGAGTACGTGGATGCTAAAGAATAGATTGAGGAATGTCTCAGGAAGAAATGGATTGAACCAAGCGCATCACCTTACGGAGCGCTGGTCTTGTTTGTGAACAAAAAGGGCGGAGGGTACGCATGTGCGTAGAGTACCGTGCTCTGAATAAGATAACGGTGAAGAACAGGTATCCTCTATAGAGGATAGAGGATCTGTTTGATAAACTCTAGGGTGCCTAGTGGTTCAGCGCATTGGACCTCGCACAGGGGTATCACCAATTGCGCATCACTGAAGATGTACCCAAGTCGGCTTTTCGATCGCTGTTTGGTCATTTTCATTGGCGAGTGTTGAGCTTCGGGTTGACCAATGCTCTTGCCTCTTTTCAGAGGGCCATGACTGATGTCTTTCGCGAGGCGATTGGACAGTTTGTTCTGGTCCATCTGGATGATATATTGGTTTATTCCAAGACAGAAGAGGAGCACACCCGACACTTTAAGTAGGTGTTGGTGAAACTACGAGAGCATAAATTTTGTGCTCGTCTATGGAAATGTCATTTCTACAAACGCGAGCTGGAATATCTTGGCCACCTCGTGGGAAATGATGGTCTCAAAGTAGACCCAAAGAAAGTTGTCGCAGTCCAGAAGTGGCCGGTGCTACAGGATGTGGGTCAGATCAGGTCGTTCTTAGGACTGGCGAACTATTTTTGTCGATTCTTACAGAATTATTCTACCATTGTTGCTCCATTGACGACCCTCACTCGCAAGAGTAGTGCTTGGCAATGGACACGGCAATGCCAAAAGGCATTCGACGAAATCAAGCAAATGCTGACCAACGCTTCAGTACTGGTTTTACCAGATCCGACGAAACCCTATGAGGTCGTTGCCGACGCCTCATTGATAGGGATTGAGGTTGTCCACTTACAAGAAGGGAGACCAATGGCATTTGAGAGTCGAAAGCTCTCCCCAGCAGAGCAGCGCTATACAACGTCCGAACATGAACTGTTGGCGGTCGATCATGTGCTACGAACATGGCGATGTTATCTAGATGGTGTGGACTTAGTGGTTGCGACCGACCACTGTCCAAACACCTACTTCTCCACCCAAGCCACGCTTACTCGATGTCAAGCTCAATGGGCGGAACTCCTTAGTGGTTCACTTTCGATATTCGATATCGAGCAGGTTCGACGAACTTGGCTAACCCCCTCAGCAGACAGCCGATAGGGGCAGCAACACGGCTAGACAACACAAAGGATGCGGCAGTATATTCTGCTTGCTTTAGTGTCCTAGCAACGGCTCGAGTGAGTGAGTGAGTGGTTTTCCGAAACGCATCCGCATAGGGTACCAAATCGACTCCTGGTTTCAGAACTCACGAAACACGAAGGAACTCAAGTGGGAGCATGAGCTCTGGTGGTGTAAGAAGGAGATTGTTGTACCTCACGTGGAATGACATTCTGGAAGAAGTGCATGCCACTAAGTACGGAGGACACCAAGCGGTCAAGAAGACCAGTTGGGCCTTGAGTGATGTGTACTACTGGCCGGGATTGGGCACTGAGGTTCAGCAATTTGAGGCGCGCTGCGACGCATACGCACGAAATAAAACGTACACAAAGAAGCCTGGTGGTTTGCTTCAACCACTCGAGATCCCGAATGAACCTTGGGAGAGCGTATCCTTGGATTTTATTACGGATCTTCTCAAGACCTACGATGGCCATACAGGGATCCTGGTGTTTGTGGGTCGTATGACAAAAACGGTGCATTTCATGGTTACGACAACTGATGTATCTACGGAAGACACAGCCAAACTGTTTGTGGCGCACGTTTTCCGCTTACACTGGTTACCACGTGTATTGGTGTTTGACCGGGATCCGCGCTTCACAAGCCGGTTATGGCAAGAAGTCACACGGACACTAGGAACGAAGCTTAAGGTGTCATCGGCGTTCCACCCACAAACCAGACAGTTGAATAGATGCTTCGTTCATTCATTGGCCCGACTCACGATGATTGGGACGAGTTGTTGCCTGTCGTTGAATTTGCAGGGAACAATTCAGTTCATGAAGGTATATGTGAGAAGCCTTTCATTCTGAACTATGGTCGGCATCCCACAACACCTGCTACACACGGGATCGGTGGATTAAAAATTCCAGCCGCTAAAGACTTTGTTGGCAAGCAACAAGAAGCGCTTAAGTCTGCTCGCCATTGGCTGCAACTCTCTCAGCAACGACAAAAGACTTACGCCGACATGAAACGTCGGGAAGTCTCATTTGAGGTTGGCGACAAAGTTTTGTTGAGCACGAAGAAAATTCGTCTCAAAATCCCCGGAGCACGAAAGTTGTTCCCTCGATGGATTCGGCCATTCGAAATGATCAAGAGTGTTGGTGTGGTAGCTTACAAGCTTAAGTTACCTGATACATTACAGATTCACGTCTTCCACGTGTCTCTGTTGAACAAGTACTTTGTAGAGGGCAAGTACTTGCCGCCACCAAAGATCGTCCTTGGGAAGGAAATTTCTTATGAAATCGAACGAGTGCTGATACATCGTGATCGACGGCGCGGCCGTAAGACAGTATGAGAGTTCCTCATTAAGTGGAAAGGCTATGGGCCTGAAGACAACTCATGGGAGCTAGAAGAGCACTTGACGGAAACTGCAGTTCAGTCATATATGGCAGACTTGGCTCAACGAGCTACCGCACAACCAGTGGATGGTGTTGACCCTGGTCGTAATGTGACACGGCGTGCTCGAAGCGCTCGTCCTCAGAAGCACCCTAAAATAACAGGGGCGTTGCCACCTAGGGGGGGCGGAGTGTAACGCCTACTCTACCTAACTACCGCGAGTTTCTTAAGTCAACATCGAGAGAGTTCTCGATAAGAAATGACGTGAAGGCAATCGGGAAGGCTGAGTTGGAGAGGAAGATTGGCTTGGGATTTCCAACCCTCAACCTTGAGGCTTGGAAACTTCCAACCCATCAAAGTGAAGATTGAAAAGGTTGGATTTCCAACCAATCACATTTTGCCAGTTGTTACAATCCAACCAAACAAGAAAGCAACCATACAACACAATCTGGTTGGGTTTTCCCAACCAAACAAAGATGCCATATAGGCTCCAAGCCTAGAAGCTCCCCAACCATGGAAGCCATGGTTGGAAAGAGCTCCAAGGGGTATTGTGGAAGGGGTTGAAGCTTTGAAGATCATTCCCACTTCCCAACTCCAACTTACCAATTTGAAAATGTGATTTTTCTAAGTATCTTTGATTCCCCTAACGAGCTCTCCTACACAACTAGAATTGCGTTTACGTCAAGAACAAGCTCTACTGGAAGCTACCTACCTACTTGTTAAAGATTCATCAACATTCTTCAAGCTCTCTTTCTCCTCTCAAGTTTCAAGAGTACTATTTGTCTAGTTTGTCCCTTAGTGGGATTAGTTAAACTTGGAAGCCTTGTATCTTGATTTTATATCTATTGTCAATGAGGATTTGTATTCAACACACGGGTGCGCGTTGTTATAAGGGCCGTAGTTGTTACACCTCGACCGCAGCCACCGCCTTCAAACGCAAGGGCGTCCTTGACCAGGCTAAAGCCTTCAAATCCGCGGTGGTGGCACTACCGGCGCGCTCAAGACTAAGACCTTATCAAGCGTCGTTTTGATGTGTTGG